TAACTGTATACAGAATTGCTGCCTAAAGATAATAACCAGGTCTTAGAATTCAGCTCAGACATAACCAGTGAAAACAGTAGAGTAGAGAGGTCAAAAGCTTGCTGTGAACAGCTTTAACTAGACCTCATGTACACTCAAATCACTCACTTAAGACTGGCTTACAAGAAGATAGCAAGTTTAGATGTTCCTACTATACCTATTTTTCACTACACAAACTACACAAACCTTGATCCTTATAGCTCTATCTTCCCATCTGTGGCAGCTTCATCCCTCCTTTAGTACACTTTTGTAATTCTTCTTTACACACACACAACCAACTTTATAGCAGAAATTATCTTAATATTGCCATGGAGTTAGTACAAACTTGCACTGGAGAAAGCAGGAAAGGTAGCTCATTCAGCAACTTTTTAAGAACTGGTAAAATTACATTCCTTCATTTTTATGTTTTCTTTTGGAATATTTCATTCAGTCACTCAATGGGCCCCATTACCCAGTTTATAGCATTATGATTCCAATTTAACTGATGCAGTTGTATTCTATGAAATTCTGGGATTCATAGTATAGGGAGGGGTATTTAGAATTCTCAGCCAAACAACAAACTCCAATATATTAAATGATGCAACTATGGCAGCTAAAGCGTAATCATAGTATAATTCTATGCTCTGAAAGGGCCTGATGTTAGATACTTAGAATGACTTACAAAGAGAGAACAAATGTGATATAAAGATTAGATTCCTGTACTGAGGTTAGGGAGGTCTAGGTTCAAGTGCCAACACAGTTTGATTCTATATTAGACTCTCTCTCTTTGTAACCTACTGTATCTGGCTTTTGTGGGGATAAAGTGGAATGTAGCGTATGCTGCCTTTAGCTCAGTGGAAGAAAGGCAAAATGTGCACTTAAAAGCTAAATATAATTAAAGATGCTACTCCTCACAACAATCACGCCCATAAATTGCTGCTCACCTCAAGACAAAACACCCAGGCCACAGATCTTGCCAAGATCCCCTTATCACTTCCCTATCAAACTCTTAGGAGTTTTCAGTTCTTGTTACTCAAAGTTCCCACAAGTCAAAGCATAAATCTAGGTTACCCAGGAATGGAAACCAATGGTCCCTGGAGATTTTTTTTTTTTTTTAGCAATCCAAACTTTTCTTTCTAAATTGTCTCAAGTTGATGATTTTTGCCCTCAATTCCATATATCTTCAAAATATGCTTATCTTTATTTTGCCTATTCTCCCACATTCGGCTCCTGATTCTTCCTGACTGTATGAGACACAAAGACACTAGAAAATGAGAAACAGGAGGTAGGAGTAATTGATTATTTCGGATATGAAAAATATGAGGGATCTGAAGAAACTAAAATCCAGATCTCTTTTTGACACTTTCCTTGGAGATTGATCTTTTATGAACAAACTTTCTGGCAGGTGATCAAAGGATTTCACAATCAAGCAGGAAGTCCTCATCCTGTCTTGAGAAATCTTACATCTACCAAGCCAAGGTAATGAATTCTTTCTCTGCCACAACTGTTATCGACAGCCTTCCTTCCTAGACACTTATGACTAATTAAGATAAGATCCACAGCTACATTTACATCTGTCCCTTTCCTAAAATGTTTTTTGTATGCACTGATTATGATTCATGAGATAATCTCTGTCAACAATGCAGTTCCATTTGCTTTTAAGCAAATCAGTTATCACCTCTTTTCCCAGTTTGTTTACCCATTACTCTCTTCCTCCTTTTCCCTTCTCTTTTTATTGTTAAAGGTACATGTGTTAAGATAATTCAAATGTCCTTTCCCCCAAAGTGTGAGATGCTTGTATCATAAAAACACCGGACTGCTCTGAAGTACCGTCATCTTGAAAACAGCAACATTTGACATGTATTATAAAGTCAAACAGAACTATGAAACACAGAGTCCTATTGTCAAGTTCTGATTCTGTCACAAACTTCACTAGATAAGACACAAGAAAACTACTATAAGTCACATAGGAACTTAGGCTACAATAAATCCTTTATATTGAAAATATTGGCAGACTACCACAGACTATCAAAATAAACCCTTTGGAAGTTACAACTGTAGAAGGCTGTATAAAATTGCATGCATAAAATACTCTCAGTACACTAAAACATAAGTAAATAAACTATTTATCTTTTGAAATATTAAAGAACTGACAGTCTTTATAAAGTCAGCATTGACTTTGCCCCTATTTAGTGGAGCTTTGTATACAAGACATATTGTATAGTAGACTCTTAGGGCCCTTTCACACTGCCCCTTTGTCCCAAGATCAGATTCCAGATTATCTGTTTATCCAAGGTTATCTGGGCAGTGAGGACTCATACATTCCAGTTTAATGCAAATGATTTGGGATCAGATCCTGGGATAAAGGGCAGTGTGGAAAGGCCCTCGGTTAACTAGAACTCAAGCAATGGAAACTCTCAAGCAACTGGCAAAAATAGAAGAAATAATATAAAATTAAATTAGCAGAAATGTTACATGATGTTAGGTTTGTCTTTATTTGTTCTTAATTACTGTATTTTGATATTGATATTAAGTCAAGACAGGATTTAGACTATGGGATCGTATGGGGGTATAAGAATCATCGACTTATAGAGCTAGAAGAGACTATGGCCCCTTCCAAATCGCTGAATACAATCCCACATTTTTGCTTTGAACTGGAATATATGGCAGTGTGGACTCAGATAACCCAGTTCAAAGCAGTGATTGTGGGATTTTCTGCCTTGATATTCTGGGTTATATGGCTGTGCGGAAGGGCCCTATAAGGGTCATCAGTTCAACCCCCTGCCATACAGGAACACACAATCAAAGCACTATCAGTTATTATTATTAGTTAATTATTAGTAGTTAGTTCAATTCTAATAATAACTTTCAAGTAACCAGGAACTATATTTTTCCAGCACCTATCAATCCCTATGGAAGTCGGTTAACTGAGCCTACTACATATGATGGCACACTGCCACTATGAATCAGTTTTGTATATTCCCTACCTCTTTCTATCTGTTAACAGGGAAAATATTTCAGATCATGTGAAGTATGCCATAAGACGCTTAAGGCATAACATGAATTTTTCAAGGACTCCTCTTCAGAATAAAAAAAAATGCACAGTAAGTATTGTATGTGTATAGTATCAGGTCCCCCCAAAAAACTGAATTACAACCATGGCCCCTTCCACACAGCTGAATACAATTCCATATTATTTGCTTTGAACTGGAATATATGGCAGTGTGGACTCAGATAACCTAGTTCAAAACAAATGTGGGATTTTCTGTCTTGATATTCTGGGATATCGGGCTGTGTAGAAGGGCCCTCAGATAATCCAGTTCATAACAGATATTGTGGGATATTCTGTTTTGATATTCTGGTATATTGATCTGTGCGGAAGGGCCCTCAGATAACCCAGTTCAAAGCAGATAATGTAGGATTTTCTGTCTTGATATTCTGGGTTATAGGGCTGTGTGGAAAGGCCTTCAGATAACTCAGTTCAAAGCAGATATTGTAGGATTTTCTGTCTTGATATTTTGGGATATAGGGCTGTGTGGAAGGGCCCTCAGATAACCCAGTTCAAAGCAGATATCGTAGGATTTTCTGTCTTGATATTCTGGGATATAGGGCTGTGTGGAAGGGCCCTTAGATAACTCAGTTCAAAGCAGATATTGTTGGATTTTCTGTCTTGATATTCTGGGATATAGGGCTGTGTGGAAGGGTCCTCAGACAACCCAGTTCAAAGCAGACCCTGTAGGATTTTCTTTTCTTGATATTCTGGATTATATGGCTATGTGGAAGGGCCCTCAGATAACCCAGTTCAAAGCAGATATCGTAGGATTTTCTCTCTTGATATTCTGGGATATAGGGCTGTGTGGAAGGGCCCTCAGATAACCCAGTTCAAAGCAGATATCGTAGGATTTTCTGTCTTGATATTCTGGGATATAGGGCTGTGTAGAAGGGCCCTCAGATAAGCCAGTTCATAACAGATATTGTAGGATTTTCTGTCTTGATATTCTGGTATAGTGGGCTGTGTGGAAAGGCCCTCAGACAACCCAGTTCAAAACAGATATCGTAGGATTTTCTGTCTTGATATTCTGGGATATAGGGCTGTGTGGAAGGGCCCTCAAATAACCCAGTCCAAAGCAGATATAGTTGGATTTTCTGTCTTGATATTCAGGGATATAGGGCTGTGTGGAAGCCCCCTCCCCCCCAGATAATCCAGTCCAAAGCAGATATTGTGGGATTTTCTGTCTTGATATTCTAGGATATAGGGCTGTGTGGAAGGGCCCTAAGATAACCCAGTTCAAAGTGGGATTTTCTGTCTTGATATTCTGGTATAGTGGGCTGTGTGGAAGGGCCCTCAGACAACCCAGTTCAAAGCAGACATTGTGGGATTTTCTGTCTTGATATTCTGGGATATAGGGCTGTGTGGAAGTAGATATTGTAGGATTTCTGTCTTGATATTCTGGGATATAGGGCTGTGTGGAAGGGCCCTCAAATAACTCAGTTCAAAGCAGACATTGTGGGATTTTCTGTCTTGATATTCTGGATTATATGGCTGTGTGGAAGGGCCCCAGGAACTCCCAAACACCCCGGCAGAACAGCACAGCAGATATTATTATTATTATCATTATCATCATTATTAGACAATTCCTCCAACTTAACACCCCAAACCTATAATACCGGGTACAGACCTTGAGCAAGTCAGCCTGAGATGAAGGCAATGGCAAATCCTTTTCTGAACAAATTATGCCAAGAACATAAAGACTCACCTCAGATAAGAAATTACTTGAAGGCACAAAACAACACCAGTGATCTACCTTGCAGGGCTATTGTGAGGAGCCTTAAATTAATATTTAACAGTCTGTAAAAGTAAATAATAAGGAATGCCTTATTCTTCTTGACAAGAGCAACATATCCATTTACTAGAGGCCTGTGCTCTCTTCCTAGAAAAGTCCCACCCCAAACAAGGCCACTCGCGCTGCTGGGCACTTTACCTGGTCAGTGAAATCCCTTCAAGGCCTCAGTTTCCCTCAGCAACAGGAACCAAGCGTAAGAAAAAAAAGGCGGAAGTAGCCCCCTTCCCTTCGGGCCGGACATGACTTCCGGTCACATGACCTGCCCATGCCCGGAGAATGAGCCGGCAAGCACCCTCCGCCTCAGCCTCTTCCCCGCCCCCTTTTCCCTCCGATCACTTCCAAAAGGGGTGGAGTCAGGAGGGGAGTTCCCATTGGTTGACCGAAAGGACATCGACGAATGCTCATTGGTGGAAAGGAAACCGCCTGATTGAGTTGTTGATTGGCTGCGGGAAAGGAAGGAGGTGGGTTTAGAACGTCAGGAGAAGCAAGAACGTTTCAGGCGGGTAGAATGTGCTCATTGGTTAGCGAGAGATTGAAGCTGGCGCGGTGATTGGTTCAAAAAGAAAAGCAAGGCATCGTTTTGAGAGAGTAGGAGAAGCCTCGATTGGAGCCGGAGGTGTCTCTATTGGCTGGAAGGGGGGCGGTAGCGCGTGGCCAAAAAAAAATCAGAATGCTGATTGGCTGCTTTGGGAGGCGACTTATGATTGGCTAAAAGGAAAAAGCGCGGGAGCAACTTGAATCTTGTGTGGGTGGAAAGAACTAGGAAGAGTTCATAGAATCATAGAATTGGAACATCTACACAAATGACCAGCCACTGCCAGAAGGGACAGAGAGTTTCATCTATGCTGATGATCGTGCCATTACCGCTCAAGCAGGGAGCTTTGAGATGGTAGAACAGACGCTTTCCGAAGCTCTAGGTCAGTGGTTCTCAACCTGGGGGTCAGGACCCCTGGGGGGGTCACGAGGGGGTTTCAGAGGGGTCGCCAAAGACCATCTAAAAACAGTATTTTCTGTTGGTCATAGGGGTTCCATATGGGAAGTTTGGCCCAATTCTATCATTGGTGGGGATCAGAATGATATTTTATTGTAGGTGAACTATAAATCCCAGCAACTAAAACTCTCAAATGCCAAGGTCTATTTTCCCCAAACTCCACCAGTGTTCACATTTGGGCATATTGAGTATCTGTGCCAAGTTTGGTCCAAATCAATCATTGTTTGAGTCCTTGATGTAGGTGAACTACAACTCCAAAACTAAAGGTCAATGCCAAACCCTTCCAGTAATTTTCTGTTGGTCATGGGATTTCTGTGTGCCAAGTTTGGTTCAATTCCATCCTTAGTGGAGTTCAGAATGCTCTTTGATTGTAGGTGAACTATAAATCCCAGTAACTACAACTCCCAAATGACAAAATCAATCCCCCCAACCCCATCAGTATTCAAATATGGGCATATCGGATATTTGTGCCAAGTTTGATCAAGTAAATGAAAATACATCCTACATATCAGGTATTTACATTATGATTCATAACAAGTAGCAAAATGACAATTATGAAGTAGCAATGGAAATAATGTGATGGTCGGGGGTCACCACAACATGAGGAACTTTATTAAGGGGTTGCGGCATTAGGAAGGTTGAGAAACACTGCTCTAGGTGCTCTTACTGCCAATTACAGGGAAAACCAGCTGATCCCCAACCCATCTAAAACACAGACATGTGCCTTTCATCTCAAGAACAGACAAGCATCCCGAGCTCTGAGGATCACCTGGGAAGGAATCCCACTGGAGCATTGCAGCGCACCCAAATACCTGGGAGTCACTCTGGACCGTGCTCTTACCTACAAGAAACACTGCCTGAACATCAAGCAAAAAGTGGGTGCTAGAAACAATATCATACGAAAGCTGACTGGCACAACCTGGGGATCACAACCAGACACAGTGAAGACATCTGCCCCTGCGCTATGCTACTCTGCTGCTGAGTACGCATGCCCAGTGTGGAACACATCTCACCACACTAAAACAGTGATGTGGCTCTTAATGAGACATGCCGCATTATCACGGGGTGTCTGCCCTACACCACTGGAGAAATTACACTGTCTAGCCGGTATTGCACCACCTGACATCCGCCGGGAAGTAGCAGCCAATAGTGAAAGGACCAAGGCAGAGACATCTCCAGCTCATCCCTTGTTTGGATATCAGCCAGCACGTCAACGACTTAAATCAAGAAATAGTTTTCTTAGATCTTCAGAGACACTCGCTGGAACACCTCAGCAAGCGAGAGTCCAAAAGTGGCAGGCTCAAACCCAGCACCTCAATCCGTGGGTGATACCAGATGAGAGACTCCCCTGGGCACACAGAAGACTGGGCGACTTGGAAGGCGCTGAACAGACTGCGCTCTGGCACCATGAGATGCAGAGCCAATCTTAAGAAATGGGGCTACAAAGTTGAATCCACGACATGCGAGTGTGGAGAAGAGCAAACCACTGACCACCTGCTGCAATGCAACCTGAGCCCTGCCACATGCACAATGGAGGACCTTCTTGCGGCAACACCAGAGGCACTCCAAGTGGCCAGATACTGGTCAAAGGACATTTAATCAGATACCAAGTTTGCAAAATTTGTGGGTTTTTTTTTATCTGTTTGTTTGTTTTGTTCTGTTAGAAATGTAATACAATGTTCTGGTTGCGGATGACACGATAAATAATAAATAACTCGAATCTTGTGTGGGTGGAAGGAACTAGGAACAGCACAAAATTGCAACAGCACAACAACAGAGAGGAAGCAGGCAGGGACATCTAATTACCTCTCAAAAAAAGTTTGCCCCAGGCACAGTCAGGCCATTGTATGCTAATCAAGGTAGTCATTTGAAACATCCACACCTAGCCCCAGCAGAGAAGAGTCCTTTGTCCCACCCTGGTCATTCCACAGATATATAAACCCTTTTTTCTAGTTCCAACAGACCTCACTACCTCTGAGGATGCTTGCCATAGATGCAGGTGAAACGTCAGGAGAAAATGCCTCCAGACCATGGCCATATAGCCCGAAAAAACCTACAACAACCCAGTGATTCCGGCCATGAAAGCCTTTGACAATACATTGAACTAGAAAGAGTTCATAGAATCATAGAGTTGGAAGAGACCTCACGGGCCATCCAGTCCAACCCCCTGCCAAGAAGCAGGACAATTGTTATTCATAGCATCTCCTACAGATGGCCATCCAACCTCTGTTTAAAAGCCTTCAAAGAAGGAGCCTCTACCACACTCTGGGGCAGAGAGTTCCATTGCTGAACAGCTCTCACAGTCAAGAAGTTCTTTCAAATGTTCAGCTGGAATCTACTTTCCTGTAGTTTGAAGCCATTGTTCTGTGTCTTAGTCTCCAGGGAAGCAGAAAACAAGTTCGCTCGCTCCTCCCTGTGACTTCCTATCTTGTATTTATACATGGCTATCATGTCTCCTCTCGGCCTTCTTTTTTTCAGGCTAAAAATGCCCAGCTCTTTAAGCCGCTCCTCATAGGGCTTGTTCTCCAGACCCTTGATCATTTTAGTCGCCCTCCTCTGGACACATTCCAGCTTGTGAGCTCCTGCTGTTAGCCCCAGCTTTGGCCAACCTAGCAGTTCGAAAAGGAGCCCCCCGGTGATACAGTGGGTTAAACTCCTGTGCCGGCAGGACTGAAGGCCGACAGGTCGCAGGTTCAAATCCGGGGAGAGGCGGATGAGCTCCCTCTATCAGCTCTTCACGCTCCCTCTATCATGTCACGCGGGGACATGAGAGGAGCCTCCCACAAGGATGATAAAAACATCAAAATATCCTGGCATCCCCTGGGCAACGTCCTTGCAGACGGAATTCTCTCACACCAGAAGCAACTTGCTGTTTCTCAAGTCACTCCTGACATGACAAAAAAAAAAGTTTGAAAACATGTGAGTAGATCAATAGGTACCGCTTCAGCGAGAAGCTAATGGTGCTCCATGCAGTCATGCCAGCCACATGACCTTGGAGGTATCTAAGGACAATGCCAGCTCTTCGGCTTAGAAATGGAGATGAGTACCAACCCCCAGAGTCGGACACGACTAGACTTTAGGTCAAGAGGAAACCTTTACCTTTATAACAATTTTCAACATTTTGACATTACATTTGAAATTTGACATTACAAATTCATGCACTTTATGGCTCAATGTAATATAGAATTGAGGGAATTGTAGTTTGGCGAGGTAGCAGTGCTCTTTGGCAGGGAAGGCTAAAGACTTTATTTTAATGCTTGTCTATTTGTGGATATTAAATTGTACTGAAATGCTTTTAATGTGAGCCATTTTTGAGTTTCCTTTGTGGAGATAAAAAGCGGAGTATCAATAAATAATAATGCTATGTAACAAAATTTCGAAAAGTATCTGTTTCTGGTTTGAAAGTGTTATTTCCTATTTAATTGTGCAGTACTTTATTTATTTACTGCATGTATATACCGCTTTTTTCACCTCTGAGGGGACTCATAGCGGTGTACATCCAGAAATGGCAAAATTTGGTGCCAACATATAATAACTAAAACGATAACATATAAATATAAATTAAGGCATTAAGATCATGTTAACATAGAACATAAACAGACATGTAAACAATTAAAACATAGAATTAAAACTATCTTAAAATAACATTAAAATCACATAGTCCAGGATCATAATCCGAAGCCATTCCTATTGTCAAGTGCACTTATTCCTATTCATTTCTAATACTGCTTTTGTTCCCATAGCCATGTCTTTACATTTTTACTGAAGGCCAGGAGGGAGGGCGCTGATCTAATTTCAGTAGAGAAGGAGTTCCAGAGCCAAGGGGCCACCACTGAAAAGGCATTGTCTCTCGTCTCCATTTAATGCATCTGCAAAGGAGGCGGTACCAAGAGAAGGGCCTCCCCAGAAGATGTTAATTTCTGAGATGCTTCATAGGGAGAGATGCATTTGAACAGGTAAATTTATTTATTCATTTATTTATTTAAAACTTTTATACCCCGATTTCTACCTCCGTAGAGGGACTCAGACCGGCTAGCAACAAAAATTGAACACACAAATACTACTAAAAACATAATAAAATCATAATAAGTTAAAATACAAACAAAAGAAATACATAATAAGCCAAATTGCCAAGATAAAATCACGTTCATCTCAATCCGCCAGTGTGGTCAGTCGTTATTAGGTTATTGCTGAACTCAACCAATTATTCTGGGAATGCTGTGTCCCAGAGCCAGGATTTCACTAGCTTTCTAAAAGTCATGAGGGAAGGGGCAGATCTAATCTCCACCGGGAGAGAGTTCCACAGCCGAGGGGC